GCACACTTGTAATCCCAGCACAGGGAAGTCAGAGATATTCCTGAGGGCTCACTGGCCAGCCAAACCTGTCTACTTGGTGAGTTCCAGGCCAGCAAAGGAGCTTGTCTCAAAGTTTTAAAATGTGGACAGCTCTTGAGGAAAAACACCTGAGATTGCCCTCTGGCATTCACTTGCATGCATGTACATGCATGTGTGCATACACACACATACACACACGTGTGCATCTTCTGGCTAGAGGCACAGGTCAATGACAGACAACATGATAGTCCTGCATGAAACTCTGGGTTTGATACAAGAAGCCAAACTAGTTAATTACATCATAATTCCATGATCTTGGACTTGTAATAGGCACCTCTGTCAACATCCTTCTTCCCTTGAGAACATCAATGGCCTGGATCTGGTGCTACTAAGATGGAATGGGCAGTGATACAAAACAGTCTTTCCAGTTACGATGTAGATTACACAAGATGATGTCTTTAGATGTCTGACACATACTCGACCCCCAGGAGAGGGCACTAGCTTAAAACCACAGCTCAAAAAGCTTTTTCAGACCACTCATGGCTGTCAAGGTCTTTCTTCTGTCCAGACTCTGTGAGTCTCATTTAGCAGCTGTCGTGACTCCAATAAGATAGCTTGTATTTTCTGTGTTCAGAACAGTGTTGTGTCCCAGAAAAGATGAAAAAAAAAACAACAGCACTGTCCAATTGATCCTGGATGTTCTCTACCTACAACACTGGGTACTCTCAACCCACCACCCACCCCCATCTACTCCACAGGGTCCTCCTCTTCCTTTTCCATAACTGCCCACAATGGGTTAGCATCTCTGTGAGTACAAATGCAACCCAAGTGTGACCAACAAATAGGAGTGGATATTTAAACATGCAGCAGGCAAGAAGAGCATAGGAATTATTTCCAAAGTACCAAAGTACTATGGGAATTCATTTAGGATGCACTATATACTCACATAGGAAAGTATCTTAGGAGGGGCACATTCCTGGGCATGGTCAGTTTATAGCTGCAGTTTAAGAAGAAAAAATAATGGCTACCCTTCTGAGCATGCTCCGCTTAAGACAATGTGGGTATGTGTTTGAAAGACTAAAATGGAGGATGGGAATGGCTCTAGAATTGGTCAGACGGCTTACATCACACAGTGAGAGGACAGGAATGCCCCTAGGGGCATAGCTTTGGCTAGAATTTAAGCTGTGAAGAGAGGGGGAGGGGGCTTTGAAGGTGTAAGAGTTTGTGTCTAATGTTGTCTGCCTCACTGAGTGACTAGCATCTCCTTTGCCAAAGCAAGGTAAAGTAGACCAACCCTTCAGTATAGAATGAAACAATTTTCTTTGAACAGCTGCCCCTCCTCCACCATTTTTTGTCTATAGGAATTTAAGTGTTTTAGAGTTTGGGGAGACTGCCGTGGTGAGCTGTCACAGGTGGGAGTTGAGAGACTGTCTAAATCCCTCCGCTGTCAGGGAGAGAGGCCTTGTTAGGAAACTGAGCTAAGTTTGAGCTTTAGACTGGCCCAGACCCCTGGCTTTCAGTGGCAGGGGGACCATGGGGAGAGTAATGAGATCATGTCTGCAGAGGCCCCCCAGCCCCTTGGAAAAGGATCCTTCCATTGCTTCTTAGAAAAGCCTTAGGCCTCCAGCCACTTCTGCTCACACCATCTCAATTTTCCTGTCTGGCTACAGCCACCAACAGCAGCCTGTGTATCCTGCCAAATTTCCATTTACTTGGCCTCTGGCCTTTCCGTGCTGTTACGTTTCTCCCCCCTCAGGACCAGGAGCAGGTCTGAACACACGAGCAGAGTTTTTAAATGTGTCCTCCCCAACCAATCATTTAATCCTTCGGATAACTTCAATAAAGGGTACCTGGGCATCGGAGGATGCATGGTTAGGTTTGCTTTCCCACCCTTATGCAGTCCCTCCATCCGTTTGGATGTAGGGATCTGAGGAAGGAGAAGACAGTGAGTTTCTTTGTAGGAAATGTGCTACTGGGGGGTAGAGTAACTCGGGCTTTCCGGATCCTTTGTCGACGTTTGGCTATGTGCGGTTTCCATTTAATGGTTTCTCATTGCACTCAGGTGGCTGTAGATGGGGAACTCTGTGGGGCTCCTTAAACAACTCTACCCCAGACACCATGGGACTGGGCTCCAATTCCAACTCTCATTCTTCTTGATGACAGAAGATAAATCCCTTTTCAACCCTAGCTTCTAGTCTCTCGTCTGTGAGACAGCCATCCCTGCCTGGGAATGGGAAGAGACAGGCATAAGGAGATTTGACAGCCTAAGGAGCCACTGGAGCAGGAGGATGAGGATGGATGTGTAAATCGTAAGAGGAACAAAGGATTATAGATGTCACAGTCAACTGGAAAAGCCAGCTACTGGAGGCGGGGCCAAGGAACACTGGCTTTCCCATGTATAGATTAACAGCATTAATTAGGTTTGGTATGTTATTTAAGGCATAAGTTGGAAAAGTTGGTGAGATGGCTCAACTAGTTAAGAGCACTGACTGCTCTTCCTAAAGGTACTGAGTTCAATTCCCAGCAACCTCAAGGTGGCTCATGACCATCTATAAGGTGATCTGATGCCCTCTTCTGGCATTTGGGTGTACAGTACATGCAGCAGAGCACTCATCCAATAAATAAGTAAATTTTTTTAAAAAAATACATAAATTGGAGAGGGATATGGGGAGGAGTTGGAGGAAGGAGTGGGAGGTGAATATGATCAAAACACGTCGCTACCTATATGAAACACTCAAGAAATAAATCAAAATCGATAGCAGCAGAAGGGCCAGGAAACACGGAGATCGCCAAGTAAATCGGGGCAGACAGACAGAGCTTTCAATACTGCACAAAGACAACTGGCATTGCCATGCAAGCGTTCTGCTAATGTTAATGGGGCATGGAAAAATTCAACAGCAGAAAGACCCAGCCAGGCATGGTGGTCACACCTTCAAATCCCAACACTCTGGATCAGAGAGAAGTGAATCTCTGTGAATTCACAACCAACCTGGTCTACGTGGCAAGTGCCAGGTCAGCCAGGACTCCGTAGTGAGATCCTGTTTTCAAACACAAAAACAGGTGGGAGGATTCACCCTGTGAAGGGCATTCTAGAGACATCGTGTAAGTAAGACACACTCAAAACAGTCAAGCAAGTACCTCAGACTGCAGAAAATATGTGACTGTGGGGTGCTCACCTCTAGGAGGAACTTCTATACAGACCTTCGAGGAGGAGGGAGGGGCAGGTTGTAAGACCCGCAAGTTGGGGAGGGCTAAAGTGAAACAGTGTATAGACTTGACAGAATTGTTGCACTCTTGAACTCACAACAGCTGTGGCTGCTTGTACGAGACCTGCACAAAGTAAAGCTAATCAACATTTCAGCATGGAAGGAAGCAGGCTCGCCTCTAGCTGGGCAGCTATTGACGGTTGGTGGTTACCAAGGAAGAAAGAGTCCAGTCTGTGTAGGGATGTGGCCCTTGGTGCGTTAACCATGCTCTAGGGGATGGACTCCACACCTGTGAACATATGCGCATCATTTATTAAGTGGGATGGGTTATTTAAAAAACTAAATAGGAGAGGGGTGTGGATGACGAGCAGGGAGGGGTTAGAGGTAGGAGCAGAGGTGAATATGATCAAGAAGCATTGCTACGGATGTGAAACTCTCAAGGCTTAAATCAAAATGGTATAATTAAAAACAAAAAAGTGTGCCTTGAGGCCACTTAAGAGCAAAGGTCCTTGCCCTGCCCCCAGACAGCTCATACTGTCTGTCACTCTCCGCAGCTCATTGCTCAGTGCCGTAGGCAACACCAAGACAGGACTCAGCTTCTCCTTTAAAGAGGAAGTCAGTGTCACACTCCAAAGGGAGCCAGTGGCCTTGGCTGATTGGTTCCCTCCCTGGGAGATGGATTTGGACCACAAATAAAGTGGGTTCTGGGATCCCAGTGGGAATCCTAAGGGTCAGCCTTTACCAGTGTGTGCCTGGCTTGCATTTCTGCACTTCTCTAGGACCCAGGTTGCAGTATGAGAACCTATCTCAGAAAAGAAGAGGAGAAAAAGGAGGAGGGAGAGGAGGGAGAGGAGGAAGAGGAAGAAGAGGAAAAGAAAGAGAAAGAGGAGGAAGAAGACAAAAAGGAAGAGGAGGAAAAGGAGGAGGAAGAGAAAGAGGAGGAGGAGAAGAGGAAGAGGAAAAAGAAGAGGAGGGAGAAGAGGAGGAAGAGGAAGAGAAAGAGGATAAGGAGAAAGAGGAAGAGGAGGAAGGGGAAGAAGAAGAGGAGAAATAGGAAGAGGAGGAGGAAGAAGAGGAAGAAGGGAAGGAGGAAGAAGAGGAGGAGGAAGGGGAAGGGGAAGAAGAGGATGAGGAGAAGGTGGACAAGTCCTAAGGAACAGGACTGGTGGCTGACAGCTGTTTTATTTCCACATGCACATGTGTACATGCTAATGAATATACACACACACACACAAGAATTTTGGAGGCAAAAGTACAACAATCCTTGAAGTTCCTGGTGAATAAACGGAAGCTGGGAGGGTTAATTAACTTGGCCAGGATCTCCCTGTTCTGAAAGACTCTGGTGGCCCATTTCTCATCACAAGTATGGTGAGGAAGAGGCCAGCTTTACATTGACCCTTCTAAAGCAGCTCATGTTCAACAAGGACAGGAGATAAGGAGGTCATGTGCTTGAAGCCCTGGTAGTGTTCTCCCAGTTCAGGCCCTTGAACATGCAGTGTAAGGAGCCAGCTAACAAGGCCCAGGCCTTGGAGGCAGAGCCTTGGCTGGTTCCATGAAACCACAAGCTTGTACTTTTTCTCTATAATTTGTGGGAGGCATCAGCATTTCCTCTTTGGAGAAAGGGCAGCCAGCCCTCCAAGGCTGAGACAGGCATGGTAATCAGTAACAGCTGCAGCCTCGGTTGGCCAAGGGTCAAGGCTCCAGCCCCATTCTTTTCCCCATGGTTTTGTAGTCTGGCTGAGCTGGAGCTCAGAGCTGCCTCCACAGCCCCAAGCACAGAGCTCCATTCTATCTTGATCCAGCTGTTTGGATTAGCTTACCTGTCAATCTACAGAGAGAGACTAGAATGACATAGGTCTCCATTCAATGCTGAAAGAATGGATTTGTGAGTAAATGAATGAATGAATCTTTCTACCTCTTTCTTCCTTAAACACAGTCTCGGGAGAGCTATTGCCCAACCTAATGGGCTTCCCAGCAACTATGCTGAGAAGGGGTCAATAAGTTTCATGCCCAGGTCTCACAGGTCAGAGGAGCAGACAGTCTTCTGACCCTCCACCAGATGGTTCCTCTTGCAAGAAGGGCCACGCCTGCCTTTCCACTGCACAGCCAGTGGCCATGCACTTGAGCAGACAGCATCAGAGGGAAGCCATCTCCAACCTCAGCACCAGGCCCCTAGCTGTGGCAGAATAGTCTGCAGAGGCAAATGGAAAGAAAGGGAAATTTTATGCAGAAGGAGGTGAATACGCCAGGACTTGGGGGTGTCCCTGGGCCTTGGCCTCACTCTCCCTGGGGCCTATGAAGAAAGGGCTAAACTAATTAAATAGGCCAGGAGAGTTTCTACAAAGAGTCAATAGAAAAAGCCACCAGAAGGCCATCTCAAGAGAGCCTGTGGTTGCCTGAAGGCCAAGGAAGAGGAGGAGTGTAGCAGTAGACCTGAGAAAGCTGCCTTTCAATCAGAGCAGTGGAGAGGCTATCTCTCCTGTTCTCCCAAGTGACCGTTTTCTCTCCTCTGTTGGCTGACTCAGAGTGGGAAGCCTTCTCTGAACACTAAGCTCTCAGCCCTGATAAGGGGGACCATCCCCTCTCCGGTTGCATTCCCTCATCTTTGTGAACTCCCAACACTGACCCCTTCTTCCCCTTCTTCAAGGCTGGGGACGACCCCACTGAAGCAAAACCCACAGGCCACGCATCTGAGCCTTACCACGTCATAGCTTGAAGTGGTTTGGAAGTGAATTTGTTTCTGGGTTTCTTTTGAGGCCAAAATGCATGTTTTGACCTACTCTACCCTTTCCTGTTTCCATAAAGTTGTTATGACTGGTTCTGGAGAGTACATGGAGAAAACAGAATCTGCAGATTTGGGGAAAGTGGCCAGTATTCCCCTGAAGAGTGCCCAGCCTGAGGGAAAATGCTCTAGGTACTTTTCTGATTGCTATGACAAAAAAACAAAAAGTCACAAAAACAACTTGGAGAAGAGAAACATTTATCTGGACCCTGGTCCAAGGGTTCGGGCCCCAATGGTGCAGATGTCATGACTGCAGGAACGTGATATGGCTGGTCACATTACATCTACACTCAGGAAGCAGAGAGAGATGGATGCTGGTACTCAATTTGATTTCTCCTTTTTAGTCCTGTCATGTCCCCAGTCAGCCTATGGGATCATGCTACCCACATTTAGGGTGGATCTTCCCATATCAATTAACCCAGTCTAGAAACTCTCTGACAGATATTCCTGGAAATTTATCTCTTGGGTAATCCTAGATTCTGTCAAGCTGACAGTATTAACCTTCACAAGCAGCCTTGGATAAAGAGAATGAGCAGCCAGAGGGGATCATATAGTCTCAGGTGCAATAACAGGAAAGTTGGAAAGACCACCTAGAGAGAGCATCATGGTTGGTGTTGTTTACTAACGAGTCTGGTCATGCATGCGGTACCATCTGAAGCACTTTGTGTTTTGGACTGTGCTAACCTCAGACTGCATTTCACACACTAGGAGTCCTTCATCTCTCTTTCTTAGAATAACACAAAGGCAGAATTTCAGTTCCAGTCTACAGAGCCCATTGGGACCAAAGAAATGAGTGTCCTGGGCCAACCCTGCATTTGGTGGCACCCTACCAGCCCAGCTCTTAGGACTTACAGCAAGATCACGTGAGTTGTGTGCACAGGGATGACTGTGTGGAGCTAGGGGACATGCCACCAGCAGCATTCCGCCATGGCCCTGGAACAGCCAGAACACCACCCTAGACTAAACAGAAGATGGGAAAACACTGCTTCCAAAGAACTGCTATTTTTACATCCTCTTTTCCAGAATTACAATGTTCCAAGATATGAATTCAAATCAGAAGGCATGGTCAAAAGAGAGCAGAGGGCCAGGAAGATACCCACAACTGAGAAGGATTCACTCCCTCCTCCCGTTGCCATGGCATTCTTTCACCTGGGTACCACAGCTTAAATAATACAGATTCTCGGTTCCCCATCCTTGACTGACAATCATTCCAGATGAAGGGGTGACCTAGGACTATGTGTTTCCCGTCAAAAGTCCCTATGATTCTCTGCACCACTGCTCAGAGGCAGGGACCCAGAGAGAGACTCAGATGCTTGAATGCAAAACAATCCACAGCATCATAAAAAACACTTTAAGTTTTATTGTATTATTTTGTGCGTAGAGTTATTTTACCTGCATGCAAGTCTCTGCACCATGCACATGCAGTGCCCCTGGATGCCAGAAGAGGGTGTCAGAAACTCGGGGTCTGGAGTTACAGAAGGTTGTTAGCCTCTGTGTGGGTGCTGGAAATTGAGCCCAGGTCTTCTACAAGAGCAACCAGGGCTCTTAAACACTGAGACATCACTCTAGCCCATGTAAAAGGCACTTTAAATGAAAGCTGTTGGTCTGAGTTGCAAGGTTGTTCATCAGCCAGGGAAGGGTTGGAGGTGCCCGAACAGAGCCACCTAGAGTTTCTGTTGTACTGTTGTCCAGTTGTATTGTTGCAAGGAATGTGTGGAATCTGTGTCCAGACAGAACTCTGTTCTGTTCTGTCTGTTCTGAATATTTTCCCCTACCAAAACTCAGCCACTCCCCACCCCAACCCCTATCTCCAACCACTTCAACTTGACCTCTGGAGCAAAACTGGACATTTCAAATCTCTGGCTGATGTCATCTCCGACCACCATCCCCCAGTGGAAGGCCTTTCTCAGCTCACAGACTTGGAGCAGACTATATTTTTTCGGACAGGCTGATGGCACACTGACAGGAAAGTGCTAGCAATAGGCAAAGGTAGCAACTAATCTATCTAAGGTTGCACAGGTAAGGGAAAGGCCAAACAGGTATCAGAACCCAGAGGTTCTGTGAAACAGAAACTCAGCCCTGGCATATCTCCTGCAGGACTAAAATTTGAACTGGAGGGCGGAGAGATGGCTCAGCAGTTAGGAGAACATGCCATTCTTTCAGAGGATCTGAGTTAGGGTCCTCGATCACATATCAGGCAGCTTACAACCACCTGTAATTCCAGCTCCTGGGAATGCAGTGCTTCTGGCCACTGTTTGTACCTCTGTTCACAAGTACATGCCCACACACAGACACACTCAGATTAGTTATGCATACACACAACTAAAAGTCTATATTAACACACTGAATCCCAGCACTGGAAAGGCAGAGACAGAGGATTCCTGGGGTTCACTGGACCGATAGCCTATCCCAGTTGGAGAGCTCCAGGATGAGGGAGAGACACTGTATCAAAGCTAAAGTAGAAGAGTTGGAGAGATGGTTTAGATGTTCAGAGCGCTTACTGCACTTGCAGAGAACCCAGATTCAGTTGCCAGCACCCACACAGCAGCTCACTCCCTTCTGTAAGTCCAGGGGATCTGACGCCCCTTCTGACCGCCTCAGGTTTACACACATATGTAATGCACATATATACAGATTCACACACATATACACATAAAATTAAAATTAAATGAAATAAAAACATGGAGAATGATAGAGGAGCAACACTGAAGGCTCATTCAGACACACACACACACACGCACACACACGCACACAAGCACGCACACACATGAACCCTCACACACATGAACCCTCACACACATGAACCCTCACACACATGCCCTCAAACACACACACATACACACACACACACACACACACACAGAGACAGATAGATTGACTGACAGATTCACACATACACACACACACTGAATTAGCCAAAGTGTGAAAAAATTCCATTACACAGGATGAACAAGCATCCGAGCACTGAAGTACAGCCTGGTGACTATAGTTAAGAACCCTGTGTTGTACACTTGAAGTTTGCTGAGTCTTCGTAAGGGGTTCCTACCACACCAGACACAATATCTACTTTGGCTGTAGTGCATATCGCCATATCACATTGTACCCAAAAATAACTGAGAACAGAAAGTGTCCCTTATCCAAACCCGTAGTATTTCAAGTAAATAATCTAAGGGCCATGGAGGTAACACTCTTCTAAAGCTACTAGGTCAGTTATGACATGTGAGGTCTCCATCCACCTCCAACTACTAGAACTCAACTATGTCCGGTGTCCAAGAGCCACAGAGGTGGTGACTTGGGATACTAATTGAAGAGCAGGAAGCTTGTCTCAACAACACGGGCAGGCCCAGGCCTCTGCAACCCTGTTACCATTTCCCTTCACTTGACAGGCAGGAGGGCACATTGACCAGACTAGTGCTTTGGTGCCTCCATGTGGCCAAATGTCTGAACAGCAGACTGGCTACAAATTAAGGCCTGGGCAGGCTGCCCTTCAAAGTATGGCCAAAATCATTAAGAAACTCTGTGCAGGCTGGTGAGGTGGCTCAGTGGTTAAGAACACTGGCTGCTTGTTCAGAGGTCCTGAGTTCAATCCCTGGTAACCTCCTATAAAGGGATCTGATGCCCTCTTCTGGCATGTAGGTGTAGATTCAGACAGACATAGCTGTAGATACAGACAGAGCACTACATTTAAATATATATATTTAATATAATATATAATATATAAATTTATAATATATAAAATAACTTTATATAAATATATATTAAATATATATAAATGGGAAGACAGAAAGAAAACATGTGCATATTGACAACTCAGGATCACGAATTTGTGCTTAACTGTTGGCTGACAATATTTTAGGGTGATTCCTTGACTTACCCATACCACTCCCCAATCCATGCCTTTCCCAGATTCACGACTTTTGGGTTTGTTTGGTGACCCATTTAGTTTAACCATCTTGTGACCGTTAGCTTGGGACTGTCCACTGGAGCATGATGGGATCACTTCTGAGTACATAACTAAATCTGTCCTTAGGAAAAGTTCAATGCCAAGGTGTACTGCTCCCTGGGCCCCTTCTTCCTCATGTCTGGCTGATGATGAGCACATCCCTGACCCAGGACGATCACCTGCAGTTGTTGAGACTAACAGTTACGAACCTCGGGAGTTTTTTCTTTTTTCTTTACTTCTTATCATTTCTTGAGTGGACTCTGAGCCATGAACAGCCATGGAAATCCTTGGCACTGGCAGCAAGATGGCAGTGAGGAGCTGGAGAAGAAACAAGGGACCCAGGTAGCCAGGTCCTGTTCTAAACGTTACTCTGTTTCTAATGTTGCTGACTCTGGACTGTGACAGTGAACTATAGCTTCTTTGACCCTGTTCTGCAGGCATGCTGAGCTCATAAAGGCCATGGCCCTCTGCCAGACATCCTCATTGCCCTGGGTTTCAATCAACTCAAAACAGTTACTTATTCACCCCTAGATCCCACAATGTGGCTAAAATTTAGATTCCAGATTTCAAATACTGCTGAAACGTTTACCCACTGACCCCAGAAACACCCTCTCCAAGTAGGGACCTTTGGACCCCTTAGCATCGCCACGGAGCTCTGTCTGCTACCCAGTATCAAAGCTGGTCTGTCTAGAGGATGACATAAAAAGGTTGCTGAGTTGCTGGGGCCCTGTGCTATATGGAAAGCATGTGGAGGATTCAGAAAGAAGTCTGGTGAGGACAAGCAATCTCCCTCCCACACAGCAGACGAGGCAGAGACCCTAAGAACCACTTCCTGCTTCCCTCTTTCTCTCAGCAAACACCCTGGAGGAGCCAGGCCATGGGCTGGGGCTAGGATTTGGGGAGGGTGGTACACAGGACCTGGTCCCCATCCTCTAAGCACTTCATGTTTGAATACCTCGAAAGGCTCATTAGTAAATTAGTAAAATCAAGTACAAGCGTGACTGTTATGAATCAAAAAGCCAGGTGCTTTGGATACAGTTACAAAACAGAGACCCAGAAGGGGACTGATTCTTCAGGGACCATCTATGGAGATGCACCAGGGTTGTAGCTAACAAGAAACAGCTCACAGTGTGAGGGGATCCAATCTGTCTTAGCAGAGCAGGCATGACACAAGAACTTGAGGTACTAAGTCAAGAAGCAAGTAGAGATGAAGACTGATGCTCAGCTCACTTTCTACTTGTAGTCAGCCCATGGACTGCTGACACCCACATGCAGCGAGGGTGTTCCTCCTAGGTCACTCTAAATCTGTACAAGTTGACAATCAAAATTACCCCTTACACTGGGTTCCCATGGATATCTAAGAACAGTGTTCAGATTGCATCAGAAATTACAACTCAGCCCCTAAAACCACAGACCCCACACCTACACCTTCTCCTTTCAGGACTTCTGGGCAGAATGGGCATGACTCAGTTATCAGCTTCATCCGTAACAAAGTGTCATAGACTGAACATAGACATTTATCTTCTTGTTGTTCTGAGAGTGGGAGTCCAAGATCGGGGTCACAGTGGAGATCTAGTGAAGGTTCTTCTTCGTGCATGACTGTCTTCTTACTCTGTCTCCACACAGATCTGGCACTGAGACAGATCTCTGGTGTTACACACACACACACACACACACACACACACACACACACGAACGCACATGTGCACAGAGAGAGAGAGAGAGAGAGAGAGAGAGAGAGAGAGAGAGAGAGAGAGAGAGGCAGAGACAGACACAGACACAGAGAGAGACACAGAGAGAGAGACAGTGAGAGAGATATAGAGAGAGAGTCATCCTTTCATCCCCGCCGGCAAGACAGTGGAAAATGAAGCAGCATAACGGGGTATTGAGTAGAAGGCCAGCCTTTGATTAAAATGCTTTTGCATAGCATTGAAATCAGTGATCAAGGGGCATCATGGAAACTACTTCTGCAAGCCTTTGAGCAGGGCAGGGAACTCCTGGTACCCATCACCCAGCATCAATCACAGCCCAGAGCAGCTGTGAACTCAGCGCTCCACTCTCCTAAAGCTGCTAACTATTACTGCTCCATGAGCACTTAATGTCCCCTTCCTGCCTCGCCAGCCTCCTCCTTTCTTCTGCTCTCCACCTGGAGCTCCACGTCACATGAAAGGGGTCGCTGAAGTGTTTGCTGTGGTATGTATTTTTTAAATGTGGGTTGGAAATTTTAAGTCATCTTTTTGAAAATTAGACTGGGAGGTTTCCTTCTTCTTTAAGAACTCAAAAATGAAGCTTGGTGAGAGAGACTAGAAACAGGTAACTAAGAAATCTTTATGGACTAATTTCCTGCAATTTGCTTCACACGGTACTATTGTAAGAACTGGGAGATTTAATGGAGGTGGGGCGGCTGTGTTAGCAGCTGCTAG